CCAGAATGTCATATAAAATTGCAATATTATGTCATAAATGTGTCAATAACAAAGCTCCCTCATATCTTAGTGATCTCATCCAGATTTATGTTCCATCTAGATCACTAAGATCAGGCGACCAGTATCTTTTACGAGTTCCTAGAAAAGGCGGTAAAAAATTAGCCGAAAGATCGTTCGCCCACCTTGCTCCGTCAGTTTGGAACTCTCTTCCCCAACCCTTGAGACATACAACATCTGAGTCTAAATTTAAAAAATCTTTAAAGACACATTTAATGACATCCTTTTTAAGTCAGTAGATTCATGTTCAGTACAATGTTATGTAAATGTCTATGTATCCATTTATGTATTTTGTGAATTGCAGTGTATATATTATTTTATTCTCATTTCGTGAAGATGTGTAATCGTGTGCGTGTGATAAGCAAGTAGATGTGTGTGTGTGTGTGTGTGTGTGTGTGTGTGTGTGTACGTGTGTGTGTGTGTGTGTGTGAGTGTGTGTTTGTGTGTGTTTGGCATACATGTGTGCGTGTTATGTATTCGTGAGTGTGTATGCGTGTGTTTGTGTGTGTGTATATGTATATGTGTGTGTGTTTGTGTGTATATGAGTGTGTGTGTGTGTGTCGCGTGCATGAATATTTTTCTTACATGCATTTATGTAAAGCGCCTAGAGCTGTGTTTACACGGGAGTGGGCGCTATAGAGATGATCTTCATTATTATTATTATTATTATTGTCACCTGTCATGTCATCCTCTCTATTGTCACCTGTCATGTCATCCTGTCTATTGTCACCTGTCATGTCATCCTGTCTATTGTCACCTGTCATTTCATCCTCTCTATTGTCATCAGTCATTTCATCCTCTCTATTGTCACCTGTCATTTCATCCTGTCTATTGTCACCTGTCATTTCATCCTGTCTATTGTCACCTGTCATTTCATCCTCTCTATTGTCACCTGTCATTTCATCCTCTCTATTGTCACCTGTCATTTCATCCTCTCTATTGTCACCTTCACCTGTCATTTCATCCTCTCTATTGTCATCCTTGCTATCATTGACGTCACTGTTATTGTTATCAGATTGTTGCTGGGTGACACGCGTTCCTTCCTTCAATCACTTCCCAACAACACTGCTGTTCTTTTCATCCTGTACCCGTCAACCTAATACATTGGTCAACAGTATGGGTTGGAAAAGGCTTTTCACCTGGAACAATTTTTCTGTTCAATCTTTATTTAAAGTTTAAAGACTTGGTACCTCCCGGGGCAGTGCCACTGACTGAAGTGTCTTTAGGCCATTCCCAAAGGAGGGACATTTCTCGTTCAAGCACAGTAGAATTGTAAATGGGCTGATTCATCTTGTCACGCTCATAACTGTGCCTGATCTACAACAGGGAACTGCTGCTTTTTCTTTCCTAATCCTTACTCTTGTCATTTTCTTCTACTTCTTTTGCATGTTTGTCACAGTCTTGTGACCCGCTATTCCCGCTATTCCTGGGGTGCCTTGATAGTCGAAGCAGACTTTGTGCTGTTGAAGCTAGAGAGGTGAGCAGAGTAAGTCTGATTCCCTGTAAAGACTTCTCTGTTGACACCCACCCCTTGGCGCTCATATGACCTTATGCAGTTGCGAGCGCTGTAGAACCCTCTACTATAAAAAATACTTGGTGGCTGTCATTGAGAGGTTGGTGGGTGCTCTGGTGTGGTTTGCTCCTTCTTTCCTATCGAGCATCTATCGTCCTTATCTCCCCTTCTTCTTTTTTATGTTTGTTACTCTCTTGTAACACCTCTAATCTTCTGGCGCTCATATGACCTTATGCCATTGCGAGCGCCGAAAAACCTCTACTTAAAAACAAAACAAAAAGTACTTAACCTCCTTCTGTCTTTTCTTGAGTGGGAGATTAGTTGGTATCCCTCCCACCGGGGAAAAGTTGTGCTTGTCACGCAGGAAAGTTAATCAGCCGCTACAGCTGCATGTTCACCTATTATTTCACCACTGGAAATTGGAGACGTGTCTCCCTCCTCCTCTCCCCCCCCCCCCCCCCCCCATTATTTTTCTTTTTCAGTCCAGGAGCATAATGTATCTGTTTGTTTTCTTTTCTTTTTTGTTTGCTCTCAGTGGAA